CACAGTGACTACACTGATAAGTTTTTGTAATTAAAAAAGTCCTCGGAAAGAATCGAAGCGATTTTGAAAATTGGAGAAAGGATTTTCACGATTTTCAAAGCTGAAATATAGAGTTTAACTCATCAATTTGAAAATTTTCAGCTGAAAACCTCCAGAAATAGACACGTTTCGGGGTAAAACATTAATAAAAATCCTCAATTTAAAAAAAAAATCTTAAATAAATAGGGGGGTCTTCTATTATGTGGGACACGATTTTTTCCCAAAGGGGTCTTCTATTATGGGGGGGTCTTCAATTATGGGGGGGGGGGGGGGGTTTACCACAATACCAGACTAGAATACCTTATTGTTGCGGAAAGCAAAAAGTCTTAAGAAAAATCCTTCCAAGAATGTTTCGATTGCTTTTTTTGTTGCGAATAATAGTATATTCCACGTTAGAAAACAAAAATAACTGCCAAATTAATTGAATATGAAGGAGTTTCTAATTATAGTGGTGATTAGGACTGTAACAGTTTCATATCAGCTCAGCTCACATGCATTGTTTGACCAATTCCAGTTCTCATGAACTGAACTGATTGACTAGATGAGTTCCTAGGAACTCGAACTGTTACAATCATAGTGGTGACGAAGAGAAACAAGTTAATTTATAGCGAAAACTTCAAATATTAGGATATGTATTTTATAAAAAAATATAAAAAACTGATCAAAGCTCGAAAATCAAAATCAAAGGAATATTTTTTTAAGGTGAGGGATTATGCCTAAGCTGTATAGTTCGACTTTGTTTTATAAGTGACATTTGGACTTATTCACAATTTTTGCGACTTGAAAATAGATATTAACAAAGAGCTCGATTAAACTGAATCAAAATTTTTCTTTTTTTTTGTTTTCTCTGAGTTGATTATTATTGATATTATCAGATAAATAACCTATGTCAAAGTATCAAGTCTGTAGCCAATTAAAATTTCAACGTTTCTTTAGAAAGGTGCATATCTAAATTATGTTTCACAAATCAATATAAAAGCATTTTTGTAGCTTTCATCAACTTTTGATAAATGGTTAGACTGTTAATCATAGATGGAACCGGTATACTGATCGGTCTGCAAAACTCCATTGACCGATCGCAAGCCATTTCTGCAGACCGGCCGGTATACTGGTTCCATCTATGCAGTTAATGGTTCATCATAGAATGACAATGACGAAAAACGTTTTTAAATCAACCAAAATAAAAGTCTACCGAAAATATTTAGAATGTTTTCAATTTTTGTATTAACGAATAAAATACGATACACTCAAGCATAATGCAATGTGATACTATTTTTCAAATAAAATATTCTGAAATAACCTCTTTTGTTTAGTTTTTATTTACCATACTTTTTGTTTAATGCGAAGAAAAAAGGATTATAATTTTTATAGTTACCTTTGTAGCTTTCTGTTGTATTTGGATCTAGAGCAAACCAACAGTTTTTATTACTTAAGTCCATGACAATGATACCAATAAGCATGTCCCATTCTTTTAATTTTTTTATGTGTTGTATAATTGTAATGGTTGGCTCATTCCAACCAACATTTCGATTAACAACAACATCAAAATAACATTCACCTGTAATCTCTGGTTCAGTTGTATCATAATTAAAACAGGTGTTCAACCATTTAATGCTTTTCAACAATTGTTGATAATGTTGTGGCTCATTATCATCATCATCATCATCGCCACTATCATCATTATCCTTGCCCATGATTAAGTCTGATATGCAACTTTGGAATTGTCGAAATCGTTCTTGATTTATAAATCCACCAAGAATAAATGTCGCCCTATAATTCAAACAACAAATAGCAGATAAATTAGAAACTAGTTAAATAGCATTGCTTTATTTTCTATTAACAGACATATTTCAGAAAGTATAAAATAAATAATCGAAATCAATACTTGATGTGCCTTCTATACAGTTATGATTTAAAATTCACTAATATTTATCAAATTGTTTATCTTTTAGTTTCTCACAAGAGATAGAATGAATTTGCATACTTTTTGAAACTAGATCGTTCATATTTCTGTCATTTATACTGACATGAAGACTTTCTAGGTCGATATTTACAATCTGATCAATTGCATACTTTTCATCATTCAAAATTCATACTTATTAATTATTTAAAATTCAGTTTGAGCTATTTCTTTTATTCAATATATGCGAATTTGATTCAATCTGATAACAAATAGGTAAACATACAGCAATACTCCTTCTATTTTAATTAAAATTTTAACAATTTTTCTTGATTATTATAGCCTTATATAAAGTTTTAAGGCAATACTTGATTTGTTAATATTGTAGAATAAGTTCACTTGACTCAGCTGAATGCTAGTGAGACGTTTTTTATTGTATTAGAATTAAAACGACAATGAGATTACGATATTAATTTATTAAAAATAAAACAAGTCGAATTGGTGATTAGTAAAAATATTAATTATAATAATTTTATACAATTTAATCGAATTTCATATGATTCATGTTGATATGATATTTATTTTATGAAGATTATTTTGTAAAACAGACTTCTTTCTTTCATATATAGTATATCAATGAATGTAACCGAATATCGATGATAATTTTTAGTTGTTTTTAATTGATTGCTAAATAATTAAATAGAGCCGATTATATTCGATCATTTTTTTTTCGGCTAGTATTTATTCGAGCAATAAAAATATTGGAATGAGCAATAAGTAAAATACGATTTAGCAATAATTTGTAAGCAATAAAAAAACTTTATTTGAGCAATTTTATACTATTAAATGTACAATAATTAATTCATTAAATAGCAGTAGTGATTTCATATTTTAGCAATAAAAAAAAGAAAAACTACATTATTTTTAGTTACAACTGAAAATAAAAAAATAAAAAAAAAAAATGTAGTATATTATTGTGTCAATAAAGCTTTTTTTGCTTTAAATGGTCTGCCTCTTTTTCTCACGCATTTGTATAAATAAATGTGTTAGATCCGTAATATGTTCTTGTGTATATGCTGTTTATTTCCGAAAAATAAGAGCCTTCCCGTTATTGCACACACGTAGATATATATAT